CTCTTGTGGGACACTCTTGTAGGACACTCTTGTGGGACACTCTTTTACGACACTCTTGTGAACACTCTTGCGGGACACTCTTGTAGGACACTCTTGTGGGACACTCTTGTAGGACACTCTTGTGGGACACTACTCTTGTGAGACACTCTTGTGGGACACTCTTGTGGGACACTCTTGTCGGACACTCTTGTAGGACACTCTTGTGTGACACTCTTGTGGGACACTCTTGTAGGACACTCTTGTAGGACACTCTTGTGAGACACTCTTGTGGGACACTCTTATAGGAAAATTTTGTAGGAAACTCTTGTGGGACACTCTTGTAGGACACTCTTGTGGGACACTCTTCTGGGACACTCTTGTAGGACACTCTTTTGTGACACTCTTGTAGGACACTCTTGTGGGACACTCTTGTAGGACACTCTTGTGTGACACTCTTGTAGGACACTCTTGTAGGACACTCTTGTGTGACACTCTTGTGGGACACTCTTGTAGGACACTCTTATGGGACACTCTTATAGGACAATCTTGCAGGAAACTCTTGTGGGACACTCTGGTAGGACACTCTTGTGGGACACTCTTCTGGGACACTCTTGTAGGACACTCTTGTCGGACACTCTTGTGTGACACTCTTGTAGGACACTCTTGTAGGACACTCTTGTGTGACAATCTTGTAGGACACTCTTGTGAACACTCTTGTGGGACACTCTTTCTTGTAGGACACTCTTGTGGGACGCTCTTGTAGGACACTCTTGTAGGACACCCTTGTGGGACACTCTTGTGAGACACTCTTGTGGGACACTCTTGTACTAAAGTTGTACTACAAAGTCGCCAGTTCTCAGCTTCCAGCTCACACGTCAAGTCTCCAAAAAGAGCATTTCGTACGAGACGTCCTCAAAAACTCACACGTCAAGTCTCCAAAACGATCGTTTCGTACGAGACTTCCTCAAAAACTCACACGTCAAGTCTCCAAAAAGAGCATTTCGTACGAGACTTCCTCCAAAAGTCTCCAAAACGAGCGTTTCGTACGAGACTTCCTCAAAAAGTCACACGTCAAGTCTCCAAAACAAGCGTTTCGTACGAGACTTCCTCCAAAAGTCAAGCGGAAACACCCATCGGAGCACACACATCACGCAGCCCTGCCAAGCAGTTTCGCGATTCCAGCTCCTCCAAACAACACCCGCTCACACGCCAATCCCAATGTGACAGCGACGTTCACCTCCACCACAACTCACAACCTCACGATTCCCTGCGCCTGCCACGAATCTTTCCCCATCCACACGTCTAACGTGCACAAAGTCCTGCGCCTGCCACGAGATTTCACCTCCCTCACACCTCGCAACCTCACGATTCCCTGCGCCTGCCACGAGAATCGCACTTCCACGCCTCAAAACCCGCACGAAGTCCTGCGCCTGCCACGAAAAGTGACAATATCATCTCATGTGAGCTTCAACAAAATTTGCACCACACCACACGTTTGGAATGATTTCGATCCGTTCTGAGCACACTCCCATCCACCAAAATCGCCACTTCAGCTGAGACTTGTCACGAAAACAGAGCTTCGATGCCACACCCTGAAACGCAAATCCCAATGGCACGGCCACATCCAACACCCCAAAAACACGACTCTCCAAACGCTAATCCCAATGGAACTGCGCAGAAACCTGCGGACCTCACAAAACGCTGCGCCTGTGCAGCGAAATGCATCACGTTTCTTGCGCGACGTGTCATTGTCATGCAAATCACAATGGAATAGCGGTGGAAACTGACACGTGACACCTCCATGAAAAGTCACTTGCAAAAGCTTCCCCAATGGCAGCAAATTTGAGACGCGACGACGACGACAAACGACGACAAACGACGACAGACGACGACACCGCACGCCACGCGAACACAGCTCCAACCCCCAGACCCCCAACTATAAACGGGAACCCTTCGCTACGCATTCGGGAAAAAACATGAAAAAAGCCAGACTTCTGAGCGTAAACCCGAGGCAGTCCATCCCAAAGCGCATGAACTCGGCGCGAGCTCCGAACGCGCGTCGGCGCGCAGCGCGGAGCTTCGAACGCGCTGCGTCAAGGCGCTGGAGCAGCGCATCTCGCAGATCTGCTTGGGTGGAGAGGTGAGATCCACCAACTGCAGAGATCAACAGCCAGCATCGAAGCAGCGCCATCAGAGGCATTTCCGAGACGGCCTCTTTTTCTGAAGAGGCAGTGAGTTGGTTGCGAGCTGAAGGAAAAGCCAAGAGGCACGGGTTGTTGGCGGTCAAAGCTGCTTAGTGATCATATGTTTTGGGGGTTCTTGCTGCCATGTGTTTTCACCCATCGCGGCCGAATGCGTGAGGACGTCTGAGCCCGTTCGGACGAGCAAGGTGCAACGACGCACGTCGAGGCAACCTGTTTGCTGCAGCCAGTTCTTTTGGCATTAACTGGCCTGCGGCCTGCCTGTCTAAACCAAACGGATTCTCCAAACAAGCTCCCAGCTTCACCCTACACTGCCACACCTAGTGGGACCAGGCAACCCATGGTGGAAAACCAAAAATGTCTTCCCCAAGGTCCCAGCGCAGAAATCCCGACGCCGTTCGGTGCTCCTTCCGACCTTCCTACGTCCCTGGGGGAACCCCTGGTGGCGACCCGGCACCCGGTCTACCTCCAAAAAGACGGTCTGGGAGCCTTCAGGAGTCGTTGGGTCTGGGCTTTCCTTCGTCCCAGCCTGTGGATGTGATGTGACGGCCAACTCCTTCCTTCAACTCCTTCGCCCGGCACCCGAACGAGTCGCACAGACCGGAGTCGCAGTTGCTTGCTGCGCTTTGGTTTTCCATCGTTCCGGTGAAGTGCGGGACTCCCGGACTCCGGACGAAGCGGCCGCTTTCGGCCGCTTTCGGCCGCTCGTCGTCTCCCGCCGCTCAGCTGGTGATCAGCGGAGGTCGGTCGACCCAGCTCGACGCCGGCGGTCGGCGCGAAAGGGGCGCGAAGAGACGTGCTGTTCGGAACGGAGAAGTGCTGTCCCACCTCAGCTGAGAAGAACGTGTGAAAAGCTCGCTGGGCTGAGAAGGCAACTCCCTGGTTGAAACTCTGGATGAAGATTCATGGTGTTTACAGGCTATAACAGCTTCAGTCAAAGGAAAAAGGAAAAACATTGACAAAAAACTCCAAAAGGTCTGACCAAATGGCCTGTGTGATCAGCCTGGCGATCATCATCGACCAGCCTGGCAACCTGGCAACCTGCATGCAATGCTGAAGCCTGAAGGCTGGCGCAGGCCGCCATCCCTGTTTGCTAAGGAAATGGCAATCCTAAATTAAATACAATAGTCTAGTGATTCTTCAAAAAGATCCCAAACCATTCATTTTGACACTAAATGACACAGGCAGGCCATCAATTACGACCCCTGTCAGCCTCCGAGGTTCTCAACGGCGCCCCCAAACGATGTCTGCTACACTGACGGAGCTTCGATGCAACTCGGATCGACCTCTAAAAACCCTCTCCTCTTCGGTGTGCTCAAGATACAGCAATCCAAATACAGCAAATTGATGAGACTTGGACAGATCTATAGTTTTGGGTGTATTCAGATAATAGATATTACAGATCATTACAGCAAATTGGATGGACTAGTTCATAGATGTTAAGCAGATCTATGGAATCTCTCTCGTTTGGGGTCTCCCTGTTCGCTTCTGGAAAGTGGGACTCTTCCTGGTCACAACCACTCGTCCTCCGATCCCTGACGGTCCCTGCAGTCCGAACGGCAGAACTCTGCTCCGCCCCACCAGTGAAGTGTTTTCACAAATATAATATATAGGTGAAGGGGGGCCCTGTCCAAAAGAATGAATGAGAACAGGTGCAAAAAAGGACAAGTCATCTTCCTTACTGCACCAATCAGAAATCAACCAGGCACCATGCACCGCCCGGTCACTTCGTCCGACCCGATGCCGCCGAGGCGCGACTAAGCCGCCGGCAGCGAAGTCCGGGACCTGGACTTGGTTTGGGACCGGGACCTCGCGAAGAGGGGTATTCGTAGACATGGTTTTAGAGAAGAGTTTGATTTCTATTGAGTTTAGATTGAGTTGACGGAAGTTTTGGTCAGCAGCCCCGTAGTGCTGTTCCATTGTAGGGCTGGGATGCCTACTAGGGAAACCCAGCCCCGAAACAGGTCTGATTCTTCCAAGTGGCGCATCTGCTGGCGCGTTCGTTCGATCCGGACGGCGACGTGGCGCCACGAGCGATGATTTCCGGTGAACCGCTGCGGCCTGGCGAAGGTGAGTCCCAATGGACATGTTTCCGGATGTATCTGTTTTACAAGCAACAGAGTGACCCAGAAACGCCAGCTCTCTGACATCCAAAGTGTGAGAACATCTTTGAACCAAACGATTAGCACCAGGCCCTGCATCACGTGAATAGATGCAGCTAGGTGCTCTTTCAAACAGAAAAGCTTTCACGAGCATCCACGCATCCCATTTCGGATCATCTTTCCCAAGAAATAGACTGGATTTGGATGTTCTCCAAAAGCAAGACCTTCCAACTTCGCACGTTCCAACCATCAAATGACATCAAAACATCCGCCTTTCACCCATCATCCTGGCCAGGCCCACCATGACCAGCTCCAGCGGAGCACACGCGCCCCCCCAGACCGCGGCGCCTGGCGTCTTGCGGATGGGATCTGGGATCCGCGGCTTCACCCCAAAATGGCCAAGCAGAGGCAGCAAAGGGCAGGAGGGTGTGCGGTTTCTTCTCAAGGAACCACATACACTTGGCACTTGGAAGTAGCTGTTCAGCAACTTGAGGTCGAAGTATTGACCACTGCTGTTAAGTATCTGAGTCGAGTATCTGGAGCGCATGTTCTGGATTCTTGGTGAAGGCTTACTATAACAAGAGGTATCCGGGCCTTTAGGGGAACTCCAACCATAACTCTCAAAACGGCTCCCTGTTTCATAGGGGAAGAACTACGGTACCCGGGTCGTCGCTACCCTCCAAGCCGTCATCCTCCCTGCCGCCGAGGCGATGTCTTTCTCTCCATCCACCGTCGCAGTCCCACCAGACTCGACCGGGCATGGCTACAGTCTGCTGGAAAGACCTGCTCCGGCGTCTGACCAGCCGATCTGTACAACTGTACACCAAGCTGAACCCTAGACTTCCAAGACCATTAAAACAATGGTTCACCTGGTTTTTGTAGTGTAAAACCCTTAGTTGATTCAGCAAAGCCTATTAAATTAATGGTGGTTGGAAGCCTAGGCTGAACATTCAAATTGAACGAAACGCAAGGAAACCCCGTCCCCCATGTGCACCCCACTCCGGGAGTGACGATGCAAACAAGTTTCATGCCATCTCACTCGCACCCGATGCATACCGACGCATCCTCTGCGAAACCCAGAACCCCACCCCAAAAAATACATCTCCGGCGCATCCCCCACTTCGCGGTCTCTGTGTCATGCTCCATGTCGCTCGGCCGTTTCCGCCGTTTCGGCCTCCGGTGCTGTGGGCCGCGACGTCAGCTCCTGCACTTCCTCCAGTGCCACATCCAGGACGGTCAGCAGCACTCGTTGCTCCCCCTGCACGGCCGGCGCTAGGAGTCCGTAGGCCTTCGCGCCGTAAGTCTGGAGCATCTTCATAGCCACTTGGGGCTCGAAGACATGGATCAAGGACTGAGGATCCGAATTATACGCCATCTGCACTACATCCATGTCATCACGCCACGGATTAGCCACATGTTTCAGGGCATCCGGGTGTTCCTTCACCAGCTGGCAGATGACGGACTTCTTCTTCACAAACTGGATGGCACGTGCATCCCTCGCGACCGCTTCCAAAGCTAGCTGTACATCGTTCTGGAGGCGGTCCGTGGCGAATTCCAGAGCCATACCATTTTGCATCACGGCCAAGAGCACCAGGTGAGTATCGTCGCATCCGGGCCCAGCGTCACGCGATGGCATCCATTCCAGAAGCAAACCGTCCTGCTGCAGCGCCGCCACGCAGAGCTCGCGGTCCAGCTGCTTGCCGTCCTGCTGAAGTGCTGCTTCGTACATCTCGCGGTCAAGCTTGCACGTGGCATAGCGTAGAAGTGAAGCGTCTCTCTGTACACATTGCTTCATAAACCTCTTGTTCGCATACAGGTCCGGATGACAAAACTTCATGAGATCCGGATCCGCGTCGATGGCTCGTTTGGCCACCACCGGATCCTGTTGCGCCAGCCGGCCAGCTGAGCGGAAGGCCGTTGGATCCTGCGACATGGCCAGCTGCACCAGTCTCAGATCTCCTTGCAACGCCTTCGAGGCAAACTGCAGCGCCTTGGCGGACCTTTCCACCGCCATGTGCACCACCTCCCGGTCGGCCTTCAGTTCGGCGGAACCAAAGCGCAAGGCTTCTCCCTTGGTGTACCGGAGCATGGTCAGCAGCGTCTCGCGATTCGCAATGGGCTCCAGTTGACGATGGTCGCAGTGCACCATGCACACCTCCAACACCTCATCTTCCGTGATCTGCGCCCACGTTTGGCACTCCTCCAGCGGCTGCCCGTCCAGCACCAAGCGTTGGCGACGCCAATGGACCTTGAAGTCTTGGTGGATGGTGACCATGAGCTCCAAGACCAACGAGTCCTTCTCCACTTCGAGCTGGGCGAGTTCGGTATTTCCTGCTAGGCCCTTCAGGACCTTCACGCGTAAACGATCGCGCGCCTTCTCCATGGCGCCAGGTTTGTGGGCGCAGATCGGAGTCGGGAGCGGAGTCGGGGTCTGAGGTCTTTAGGAATGCGCAGCTGCGGCCAATGGTGGTACAGCTTATGGCCTTTTTGGAGCTCATGAGGCTGCAAAACGATCCAAACTCATGCAGCATACGATTTAGAAATATATAATGGAAGAATGAGCACTATAATCACCACTGTCGTAAGGATCCATCAATTGCTGTCACCAGATAAATAGGAACTCGCACAAGTCTTGCAAGTGGTCTACCCGTTCTGTCGCCTGAAACAGCAGGAAACAGCAAACTGGATTCATGGTCGTTTCACCACCCCAAAGGTTGCTCTTTCCCAGCTCCGGTCGGGGCTGCGCGTATACGGCCACCGCCGAGTTCGTCTCCCTGCGCTGCACGAGTTCGTCTGCCTGCACTCGGGGCCTGCACTCGGTGCTGAAGCGCTTCAGCTTCTCACACCTTGGCACCAAAAGACGTGGCTTTCGTCGTCTGTGGTGAAGAGAACCCGAGAACCCTAGACTTCCTGGCCCACCATGAACTTAAGAGGCGGGTCATCCCGAATCTACTAAGGAGTTTACACTACAAAAGCCAGGTCAACCATTTTTGAAGGGTCGAACGGAAGTCTAGGGAGAATGTTGTCTTCATCCACAAAAAGAAGCAGAACATTTCGTCTGGACCTCCGAAACATGAGATTCCTCCTGGCCAGTGGTCCTCAAATCAGCATGGCCATGGGCGGTGGATGGGAGCCCCCCGTAGTCCAGAATGGAGACGCTACGACTGACGCGCGTGACCAGGTCAGAGCTGCCTCGGTGGGATAGGCGTCGGAGAGCAGCGATATCCTCGGCTGCCAATTGTCAAAACAAAGGATGACTCCATCGGAATTCTCTGGAAGTTTCCAGTTGAACTCTGTCCTCATGAAAAAGGAATCCAGCATGGTCTGTCAGACTGTGACCGGGTTTTTCTTTGGAAGGGCCTGTCGCCATGACCATGACTTACAAAGTTAAGGCTCATCCAGGCCCAGCTGAGGGCCGTAGCTTGAATGATCAACTCAGTCGGGTGAGCGAATCAGTGTGGTGCGTGCCTTTGTCCGAGAGGCGCAAAAATTCGAGTTTGGACCCAACAGTCTAACTTTTTCATTTGTGTTCGATTTTATTGGGGTTCCTTTGGGATTCGCACCATAATTGTGGGAATACAAAATTCTCAAGTGACACTTCACTTAGTCTGGGTCCTTCGAAGTAAGAGGAAAGGCTTCCCAAATGTCTATCTGAAAGATTCTAAGTGTATAAGTCTAAGTCTATAGACATACCAAGTCTAGGCAACATATTTCATCCTGGCATAGCAACCTGTGAGGCTTTGAAGGATTTCTGGTTTGAGTGGGATCATGGGCCTTGGACTGAGGCTGAGGAGGTGCCTGGTCTTCTTCTCAGCCAAGGCTCTGGCTCAGGAGGTGTCACGAAGAACATCGCAGGCGTCATGAAAAAAGAATCCAGAAAGCAATCCTGGGATGGACGCCAAAGTTTGGGTCTATAAGTTGAAAAGGCAACTGCTCGGAGGCTTAATTAGGCCAGCAAAATGGACGTGTCTCACCAACAAGACCAACAAGTATGTCCCTTCGGAACTCCGTTCTCAAAAACCTTGCTTGCCATAGCTCTGCCACCTTGGCATGTGCTCAGCTTGTGGCCGTCGACATGCAGCCATACCTTCATCAGTCAGCTCCCAAAGCAGCGAGTCTATAGGGAGATTTCGACCCGCTGCGCTGCGGTGCGCTGCCCGTGGGTGTACCGCGGGCGTCGGGTCGTCGTTCGTGCGAAAACTGGGCAGGTTGGTGGCCAGGGATTGCGCCAGAGGGCCAGGTGATTGCGCCGAGCGTCGTCTTGAAGTCAAGAAGCTGAGAAGGATGCCAAGACCGTCGAACGCCAGAAATTAGCTGCAAAGCTCCGCCAGCATGGATGAAGGCAAGGTCAGCACAGGACATCACAGCATCACCCGACATCACACTCCGAGAATGTCAAATAGAAGGTTTTCTGATAATTTTTGGATATCAAAAGAAAAGGGGAGTCGGACTTGGGGGGAATATCTTCAACCATTCTGGACCATCCCGGACATGTTCTCCGACTTCTCGGATCCTCGGTCCTCTTCCCTCCCCGCTCTCAACAGCTCTGCACCACTCTCGCACGAAGCCAGTGCAGCAGCTCCCGCTCACGGCCCAGCGCTCCACGGCGCTCACGGGCACCGCTGTCTTGTGTAGCCAAATGGCCGGCTCCCACGCAGAAGACACATCCAAACAAGACCCCAGGGCTCCATGCCACCAAAAATCCGTTGGAAAGCGGTCTCAAGAAGCCATGGTCGTCGGGACACCCTGCAATCACCCTGTCTTACCCTGTCTTAGCGCTTACGAAGATTTTGTGCCCACCTGTGACAAAACCGGTTGAATGATTCTTGGATCGCAGCTATCACAATGGACTCGTAACTGCTCCTGATCTTCCAAAATCTGCTGATTCTCATCGACTCTCCAACTTCAAAAAAACATATTCCAACAGCTTAACACCCATTCCATTCCACCGCACCACTGCCCACCACCCAGTTTCCTCCGTGCCACGCCCCCGCAGGCCACGCCCCCGCACCGCCTTCTCTTCCAAAGCCTTCAATACCGCCACCGGCGTCGCGGCGTTCGGCCGTAGCGCCGCAGCCGCCAGGCACGTCCAGAGCTCCAGCGCCTGAACCCAGCGCTGGGCCGAGCCCACGGTCGACGCGGCACAGTTGACGGCCTCAGGCGCTGCGTGACCAGCGGCGTGACCGGCGGCTGAGGCGACCGGCGCTGTTTGGGTGAGAACAGCTGCGCCGGTATCGGGGTGAGGGTGAAACTGCTGAGAGATGAATGTTCGGTGAACCTGCAGATTTCACGGCGGGGTCCGGCGCCCAGCGCAGATTTTCTGAGAGATGACTTTTCGAGATGCGGGAGAGCGGGAGAGCGCGGGCGAAGGGAAGATGGTTCATTGTATTAAAACCTGAGAATGGGCTGTTGATCTTTCTTGCTGCATATGTAAATATTCATTAATATAGACAAAAGAAGGATTCACCCCACATGAGAAAAATCCCTGGCCCACCCTCACCACAGCACCCGCCGCGGCACCGCCACGTTCGCCTCCTCCGCGCCCAGCGCGCCCAGCGCGGAGCGCCAGCGGAGGGGCGGCAGCGCGCGCACGGCGCTGCTGACGCTGACGGCGCTGGGGCGAAGGCCGCGCGGGAGGAGCGATCGGAAGAGGTGTAGCGCCTTGGAAGGGGCGGGGGTTTTCCATGATTGAAAGGGTCCAAAAGGATCCAAGACTTCCCAAAACCAGGTTTTTGTATGGTAGATGGATGTAGATGGTGGGTGTTCTTCCATGAGAGAAAGGCGTCAGGACGCTCAGAGATCCAGAGTGATGAGGATGGGGTTAGTCTGTTTGAAGCCTTTCGGGTATCCTGAGACCTGACTTCAAAAGAAGAAACGCTCCAAGCATCTGACAATAAGAGAGAAACATATGAAGACAATATATTGAAAATATACCAACAGTTCCAAAGGGGTGCTTTATGGAGGAAGTCGGGGTGCCCAGAACATCCACTCACTGGATGGGACCAAACACCACCCCTCTGAGACTCTGTGACTCCTGGTGTATATAATTGTATATATACATATCGCAAAAGCCTCCTAAAGCCCACCCTGCTGCTCTATGCTCCCCAAACTGGGCACCTGCTCCCAGATGGGCTCACAGACCCCGATCGCTGCATTCACCATCACCACGTTCAGCTCCTCAGCTATCGGAGAGTAAGAGGTCTATTGGTCGCAGACTTGGGTCAGCTACGAAACCAAACTGAACTGACTCTGGCTCCAAGACTCCAAAGACATATAGAACAAGAAGCTACTAAGTAACAAGTGCATCGCTTCTAGTAACAAGTGCCTTACTAGTAGTAACAAGAAGCTTATTGTTTCTAATAGCTTCTTGTTTCTACTTAGTACGGCACTTGTTACTAGTAGCGATGCACTTGTTCCTAGTAGATTATTGTTTTCTACTCACAAACTGAACTGACTCTGGCTCCAAGACTCCTAAGACATAGCTATACATCCAAAACCCACCATGTTCAAAAGGGAAAATTAGATGATTGGACTTAAACCTGCTGATCCTTCGGTCTGACTTCTTGAGCTACAGTAACTTAAAATATCTTAAAATCATGGAAGGATATTGCCGGTTTAAGTGGGTGTGTATTACTTTTTTCGCAATCTTAGATCAATCTTGTTGAAGATCTAATTAATAGAACTTGCTATAAGAGCTGAAAACAAAAAAACATGGCAGCCCCCTCCAACTTGCCAGCTCAGTCTCCACCTCTCTCCGCCGGCAGCCCTCCAGCAGCTCCGCCGCCATCGCCGCCCGCCACGCGCCGGACGCGGACGACGCGCCCGCAGTGCCCGCGGCGGCGAGGGCGGCGCCGTAGGTGATGGCCGTGGGGCGTGGTGTGGCGGCGAAGAGGTCGAGCGACCTTCTCGGTGGTCGCGGTCGGCGCGACCCGCCGGGTGGTGCTCGCTGTTTGACGGGTGACTGGGGTGCTAGGGAAGGAACTGGAAGGACTGAGGGGGAAGGGGGAAGGGAAGAGATTGACAGTGGCAGAAAAGCGAAATCGGAGGATTTTGAGACGAAGAAGTGAAGAAGGAGAGACGATTTGGTGTTTGGGGCTGGTGCTGGTTTCAAACAAGAAGCTCTTGGAGAGCGTTTCATGGGGGTCTAAAGTGGAGATTCAACAGTTTCTTTAAGAAGTAAGTGGTGGTTGGGTTTTTTGAGGTATAGTTGTTTACTACTCACTTCTTGCTTCAGCCGGTCCCAAGCCAAGCGGTCCATCAGTGGGAAGTTGGCCTCGCTGGAAGACGCCTCTCATTTGATCTTCAGCTTTTGGAGTCTCTTGAAGACACTCAAACATCCCTCTGGGAGGTGTTAAGCTTTTGGAGTCTCTTCAGCCTTTGGAGTCCGATCGCCAGACTTCCACAGCCAGCCCAGACTTTCGGCAAGGGCCGAAAGGACGCAGCCGACTGCAGCGGTCGAAGCGGCCGAAGGGGACGTCGCCACAGGACGAAACGAACGGAGCGACGACGATCGGCCGGACGCATCGCCACGAACGGAGCGATCGGACGCTACGACGAATGGGGCTCCTGGCCTTTTACTACTAGGAGCAAAGGACGCTACTGACTAGGAAGGAGCTTTCTTCTCACTGCTTCTTAACTCCTTTTTCTCCAAAGAATTGGAGGCTGAAGCATCCTCATTTTGGCAGAAAGCAAACGCTTTACCAGAACCTCAAATGGCTAAATGCGTTCTTTTTCCTGTTGAATTCCCTTGGCTCACGGCTCTCCCCCCACTTGGCACTCTCTTTCCTTCTCTCTTTCCTCTCCACTCTGCCTCTCCCACCGCTGTGCTCGCTGGCACGCCGTGATGGCCGCATTCACCGCCGCCACGTCCGCCGCCGCGGAGAGACGCGCCGCGGACCGCGCCACGGCGAGGGCGGCGCGCCAGGCGGCGCCCGTGGCACAGGCGCTGGCAGCAGTGCCTGAGGAAAGGGTGCGTGGGCAGAGCCCCAGAAAGAGTGAAATGGATGTTACACTACCCCAGTCCCGGCCATTTCCAAGGGGGAACCCCAATCCCAAAAATATCGCAATATGATGCAATATGTACCTATTCTTTCTGGTTGGGAGTGGGGTTCCAGGGGTGTTGAAAGTAGACTTGTGATCACTTGTGATCTCTGATGTCCTCATCAAAATAAGCGAACCATGATTCCCGCGAACAAACGTCGATTCCAGTTCGGAAGTATGTGGCGGGGATCATCATACTGACTGCTCTTTGGGGAGCCGGGAGCTTGATGTCCATGTCCTGAATCTGGGTTTCCCTGTTGAGATGTTCATTGGACGGGCGGCTATAGCTGATGATGCTCGGTTGGAATCGCTCCTGCAGCTCTTCGAACAAGTGCAGCGCCGTCGGCCACCTCGACGTGGACGGGCTGCAGGGTGTTGGGGAGTTGGGAGTTCGTTCGTCGCCTGAACCGGGGATTTCTGTGGATTGTCAGGGTGCTGTGATTTCTGGGCATTCCGCGAAGATGACTCTATATATTGGGGGGGTAACTGGTAGATGTGGATCCGACCCTAAGGTCTCCCCTGCAGTAAGAAACTGTGGTTCGCAGGTCGCAAGGGGCCCTACTCAAGAAGCAAAGACTCCTGGACGGGTGCTGAGGAAGGACATCATCAAGAGTCCTCTTCACCGTGCTTTCAAAAGGGCATCCATTGGATGTGGCTCGATGGAGACAATGGATCATGGTATGTCAGAAAAGGAAATAGATTACAACCACCAGACCAAACACAAAAAACATGTTTTCTAAAATCTGCAAGCTATCAGAGGGCACAGCTCGCTCGCAGCAACGAACAGAAAAAGGAATCTCCTCTAAACTCATGCTCGTCAACGTACCTTCATCTCTCTCTCTCTCTCTCTCTGTTTGTGCAAGGATGGATCAAAACCTTTTGTCTGTTTTGATCCAGCGCACTCATTGTCTTATCCTCTATTCTTTGGATCAAAAAAGAACAACAAGAAAGGGCAGAACACCGACCGACTTAGCTTTTCTGCAGACAAACGAACTTCCACACTCACCCGTTCTTCCCCACCGAGCCGCTGTTGGCTCCGGTCGCAGCACTTCATCGCCGCGTTGTACACCGCCACGTCCAGGCGCGTTGTACGACTCCGCGCGGCGGAGCGGAGCAGCTGCAAGGCGTGGAGCCACTGGGTACCGCCTGAGACCGGCGTTCGCCCACGACGGAGGGAGGGGAGGGCGGAGGGCAACCCTCAGGTACGACGGAGGGCAGGGGCGAGTCCAAGGAGGTGACTCATCTCCCGTACCAAAAAGGATGATATGAGAGGAGGTAAGAGTACTTACCGATTATAGAGGTGTATGTCTGACATACCCGTGACATACCCGTGACTCCGTGACATAGCATTTTTCAAGGGGGTCCTTTGAGCCATTTCGAGAAGCACAACGACTCCCAGATGCCAACGTCTGAGGCTTCATGGGTAGGTCATGGAGCGGAGCGCAGCTCTCGACTCGAGGCTCGATGAAGTGCAGCCGAGCCACATCGACTGATTTTTTGAGTGTACTCCTTCGCAGAAGGAGTTGAAGCCACTTCCACCATCATGGCGCGGTCCACACGGTGCTACTCCGCCCGGGCTACTCGGCGGCATGGTGCGGTGTGTGCTCTGCGGCGCAGCCGGGCTGCTGGGTAGGAGCCCAAACCGCAGCGCCGGCGGCGGGTCGCTGGGCGAAGGATCAGGGGAAATCGCTCCACTGGAATTCGTGAGGGAATCCAAAGTCGTCCTTCAAGGTCTTCATTGGTTGAAGTGGACCTTCCAATCCGTTTTAGGTGCGTTGCCCGCGCGGCCGTCTTCGGCGTGTTCTTCGGCAGCTGTGCTGAAGATCCGTAAAATCCGGAGAAAGTGGCCATCTCATGCCGTCTCTACATAGGGCCACCCACTGTAGATCCATGAAAAGCTGGGAGGTGCAACAAAAGTGTACAGACTGAGATGAGATCGAATGAACAAAATCTCCACCTGAGAATTTCACTCGCGACCGATGTGGCTGAGGTAAACAGAACCGGAAAAAAGGTGTGAAAGCTCACGTGAACTCCAACGCCATTCCTTGCTGTGGCATTCCGAGTTGTCCACTGGGGCATTCCGAGCTTCTGGAATTCCATGGAGGTGTGAAGAAATCCACTTGTATTTAAAATTCCAGGGTCCAGGTAATTCCCTAAAGCTCCTATACCGCCTTGCTCCCTACCAGATGGCGTTTCATCGATGGCCTTCGCCACTGAAAAAAAACCTCGCGTCCCTTCGGACCCCCGGCGCCCTTCGTCGCGCGACCCCGCTCCGATCGAACTACAACTGAACCAATCAAATCCCAATCAATTGCACCCTCCAACCACCCCGAAAGTCGAACATGGCCGTGGCCCATTTCAAAGACGAAGCAGGGTGTTGATATATGTTCCAACATTCGTCCCTAGGTCCCTGAAAACGCTCGTCGTCCATGTTTGGTGAAAACGCAGGCAATCGTCCCTGGCAAGGACCCGCACCACTGAGGTCCTGTGCAACCTCCTTCACCAAACGTTGGAAAGGCAACTTGCCTCAGCAGCCGCCCGATCCGCCGCCGCCGATCCGCGGCAGGAAGTGCTGGCGGGGCCAGTGGAGGCGAAAGGTTCGTACACTAGAAGACAAACAGTTATACTTATTGGAAACACAACCATTGCACATCAACCAAGTCTCGTACTTTTAGGATGCTTGTCTTCATCTCTCTCTCTCTCTCTCTCTGTTTTTTCTCTTTTTAGTTTTTGGAAACATGAAGCATCCTTTAAGGATTTAACGAAAGGAAAAGGTGTCGTTGCTGAAGTCGCTGAAGGTGCTCTTCTTGCAGGTGACAAACCAGAACCCCAGGCCCGGCTTCGTGGCCTCCAAGTGAAAGAAACGGCTTTTCCGAAGCTCATCACTTTGCAGCATCCCTCATGCTTTCTGTTCGCGCGCCCACCAGAACCGGTCGCCCTTCAAACCATTCCTTGTGCTCCACGCTCCCAACGGACCCGATCGGTTCGTTTTTTCGGCCCACGTTCGTCCGGCCCGTTCGTCTCGTCTCCCACGATCGCCCCTCGTCTCGGAGCCCGTCCGGGCGGCGGATGAGCAGATCGGTCGACTTCTGATACTTTCGGATCTCCCCTCGGTCGACTGGCGCGTCGATCGGGACGGCGCGTGGTGAGATTTGCCGCGGCAGTAGCGAGACACGAGGCGCAAAGGTTGGTTCTTTTTCTTTGCGGCGCCGGCCCTGGGGTTGGATGAGGTGGCTATAAGGCTAAAAAGGCACGGCTGTAAGGACCAACACCCATCACAGCTCATGTCCACAGTGGGGTTGGAGGACAAATCCTCTGTGTCCTTCTTGGCCAAGGGTACCATATCCACGCGCGAACGGGGTGCTTAAGGATGCCGAGAGAGGATAAAATCAAAGCTGCACAAGAGGTGCTTGGAGCAAGCAGGCCAAGAACTAGACTGGTCAAAGTACAAACATTCCTACTGCATATGGATCAGGTCCACCTCACTCTGAGGTTCTGGAGTGTAGAGTCCAGTGAGCCGTTGGGTAAGGGGCAGCTATAGTCGTCCTCAGGCATTTCTTCCAGGTCAGTAAGGAGAATACATGACTTTCTGATTCCTTTGATGGGGCGGCTGAAGGACAGCTCTTTCATCCGTAGGCATTCAGGACTGCACTCTTATAGCTCGTGAAGAACAGCTTCTCCAGGCCAAAAGGGCCGTGTGGGCCACTGCTTTGGATCAGCCAGTCACAGTTGGCTTCAACGGCTCGAGAAGAATGGCCCAAGTGTCTCCACGTTTCGGCAGCCGAAAAAGGAATCTTCCGAAAAAACCCGTGGTGTTTGAGGAGCTCTCAACAAGCTTTTTGGATAGCCTTGAGTCCCATAAATGGCGTCAGATCCAATATGCCGCTTCACCACCCGGGCGGCCCACCATGCTCCAATCCTTCCAACCCTGCTTCAACCACCCACAAATCCTGGACTGCTCCATCCATGCCGAGGCTCGAAGCGCCAAAGTGCCCGGGCGGAAGCGGTGGGTCTTCTTCATCGTCCCCACCAGCGGCGCCTGCGGAGCGCGCGAGTGCGCAGGGACCAGAGTGAGCTGCTGGTGCCATCGCGCACGGCATGCGCGTTCGAGCGTTCGCGGGTCGGGGGAATTGACACCGGAAAGCGGCAGCTTCTGCCCAAAAAAGCAACACATCCCCCGAGCGGCCCGGACAGCGCCGGAGGGTGAGGTGATTGAAAGCTTAAGCGAATATTAATGAATCATGAAGGACCTGTGTCGTGTGAACCTGTGCAATTATTCCAACTGTGGAGCGTTCTACCTCCAAGGAAAAAGCCAACAGCCCCGCTGTTGAAGCTTGTTCGACCCCTCATTGCTTGACCCCGCATCCTTCAGGCGCGTGCACACCAATTTCCGCAGAAAAAGAGTCTAGAGAAGTGTTCAACAAGCCTCTCTCAAGCCGCGGTGTCATCCAAACAAAAAAGGAGAACGGGTCATCCCATCTCCAATCACCCCCTAATTAATCCGATTCGTTTTAAAAAAGGATATATAAAAAGATCAACTCTCTCCCTCACCGCATCTTTACTCCCCCCCCCCTCCCCCACCTCCCCCCCCCCACTCCCTTCCCTCCCCCCCCCCCCCCCCTCTCGGACGGACCGGTTTTCCTTCGCTGTTTCCACCGTCCATCGCGCCTGTTTGCGTGAAGCCTTGGCCGCCAGGTCCTCGCGGCCTTTGTTCCCGCCGGACTTCCTCGGGAACAAGAGCGGAGCGGAGTCGGATCGTCCGAGCCGAGCGAGGTCGGTTCTGGACGACTTGGTTCGTTTGGAAAACGGGAAGAGAGACGCCAAGTATTTAAGGTGAATGACCCTGATCTACCTATGGGACCTATGGGACCTCACATCTTGAATGTAAAGAATCGGTATGTGAACCATAGGTCCAGGTAGAGATCTATATTTCAAGAGTTGAATCCTACCGTTTAAGTGTAAGGCCAGATTCTCAGGAACGAGGTTCCGGTATGTAGGTGTGAGGGCCGATGATCCTCTTATGTCCCAGAGTCCTGTAGTGATCCCACCTGGTCCACACGAGTTGCGATCCGTCAAACGCACCAGAAGTCCGTACGTGACGGGAGACCTCACATCTCACGATCATCTGCACGAATTGCCTATAGACATTTGTATGGGATGGTCATATTGACCCTCCACACAGCCCACCCACTATAGTATTTTATAGTATTCCACACAGTCAAGTTGACCCTCCACTATAGTATTCCACACACTTTCGCATGTGGCTTGAGACTTTCCGCCGTTTTTTCCTTCGCCGCTTCACGTCCTTTTCGACCGGCGACCGACCGGCGACCGACCGGCGTCGTCCCGCGTCTAACCCAAGGCGCTGAGCGGTCATCTTGGTTCGCGCCATGGCCTCCAGGACCAGAGACACACGAAAACGGGAGTTCTAGGGATCGGAACATGAGGCCATGCTAGCCTTTTGCTTCATGAGGCCTATGCAAGGCCATTAGCCTATAGATCCGCGATAATTAGGTCCAATGGCAAACAGTTTCTATAGCTCGAAGGTGTTAATTCAGGAGGCCTGGGCTTTTTGGTGGGGGAGCTCTTGACGCGCGTGGTGGTTTTCATCTCGACTCGGGAGCACCCAAAAGGCTTTGCGGCGAACCACCGTCTTCGAAGAGGTCCGATCCGTCAGACCCAGATCAGGCGGACTCCGTCCGGGTCCTCTCGTTGTTCCGAAGAGTTCATTCCATCAGTTCAGTTCCAATCAGTTCGTTCCATCAGTTCCATCAGTTGAGTTCAGTTCCAATCAGTTCAGGCCATCTTGGAAAAAAAAAAAACACAAAGACTCTTTCCATCACGGTCCACCAGGCCATGATAGACTAAAGGACCACGGTGACCACGGGACCGGACCGACGCCACCGGGACGTACCACCGATAGAAAGGTCCACTCTCACCGGTGGTGCCAAAGCGAACAAACCGCGGTGGAAGCCGAGAAAGCATCGAGAAGAAGGAACAAAGCCAACACACATGAAAAGCACGATAGGAACACCTAATTAGAATGACCCAGCAGACCCCCTAAATCATCCACCCATTGGAATCCCCCTAGATCCTGGGTCTCCGTCTCCGATTCCCCCGGGCCTGGATCGCTATCCAGCTCTTCACAGCTCGGGGGGGGCGTTCGTGGGCGAATCGGTGCTTTGGGCGGAGCCAAAGAGACGGCGAGATCGCCGTGCGGTGCGAGATCGCCGGCGACGGGAGCGTCGGAGCGTCGAGTCTCTTCCTCCGTTGGTGGTGGTTGAATGACTGGGATCTCGGGGCCCAAATCGCTTGAAAAGAAGGTAGGGAAGGATGATGGAATGCAGTTGGGTTGGATTGCAACCGTCGGAACAAGGTTTTCCAAGTCGTTCAACACCTTAAAAAAAAGAATTCCAGGAAGGAGAACTCCTGTTTGGACAAGTTGTGAGTTTGCAGTAGAACACGAGCGAACTCTCAAATTGTTTCAGAAGATAGTCCTGACTTTGAAGCTGATCACATGCTCTGGTTCTTGATATTGCTCGGTTGACCTGTGGAGATCGCCGCCATGGCCTCAGCATGCCGCTCACTATAGAGGAAGCCACACAATCCAAATGGAATGCTGGAAGTGCTTGGTGAACAAATGTTTTATGTGGCTTTGACAGCACCACTGTTCAATGTGCGTTCTTCAGTGACCCGAAGAAGCAACGCAGAGTGCCACCCGCAACAGCATGCGAAGACCATGTAAGAAAGCCCTCCCTAGCCTTCAAAAACCCTGTAAAATGGTTGATGTGGTTTTCAAGTATGAACCGTATTATACATTCCCCAGGTATATGATCTGATGATACAAAGAGACGATGGATTCCATCCCGCTATACGATTGTACATTCCATCCATTATAATACGTACCAGTACATTCCATCTTCCTCTCTGCCTCCCTCCCCACTTGTTTAACCCTTTGAAACCAAGCTCTGGTGCTCACCAAGGGGGCACAGCTGCCGTCCCCCTTCTTCACCTTCGACCGGTCTCTCTCCGCCGTCTCCGGGGGGTGTGTTCCGTCTCGTCTCCTAGATCACCTAGGCTGTTGCCCGAGAGGTTCAGCTCGGTGTACCTGGCGCCGTCGCCCGCGGCTCCGGACCCGGGCGGGGCGCGAGGTGAGGCCCCTGGTGATGGGAGGAAGAGAGGTGGTCAATGTGCTCAAAAGGGGTTTTGAGGGAACAACTGCATGAATCTGTCGGCCCGACAGATTCTCCATGTGGGCTTCACTGGAACTGGAACGGAGAAGGCTTCACTGGGAGCAGAAAAAACAAACCTCCAAGCAAACAAAGTTCACTTGCCGTTCTTGGGTGATGATTCTTGGTAGTTCAATTAATTGGCAGCAACTCACGTTATCGGAGTGAACCTCGATGTGTAAGTTCGATCAAATAAAACTCATGCCCTCGACACATGTCTTAGAAGGTGTGAAACTGTATGAAACTTTCTATTTCGGGGCCCTCTGTCTATGAGTGACCCACCCCCTCCAACCGAAA